ACAAGGCAGGTTGAACCAGTTTAACTGTAGACCCTTTCCTGAATACCCTCAAGGTATCCTGTGTACCTGTCCCTCCTGCTTCGAGCTAATGGTGTCTTTCTAGCTAGGCTGCAAAGACAACCCCCCCCCCAAAAAAAAGTATTCTTGGTTTTGTTTCTCTGGTCTGGACTTGAAGGGCTGACATATTCTTAGTTAAGCTCCATGCTTTTCAAAGGAGAAGTTACTGAATATTAGAGCAGAAGTTTACAAATCTAGGGCATTTTTAAAAAAGAAAGATCTTACACATGTAGGACATTCTTGAATTGCTGGACTTACTAATTTCCACTTTACCCAACAGGCTTTAGGAAATGATGACACTCTTCTTTTACAAATGACCAAACACAGATGTCTCTAGAAAGAAAAGAGATGATATTGAATCTTACAGCATTCTTGGCAAAACAGGATAGTGATGTGATGATGCTATAAATAAGATTTTCCCCTGGACAAGTCTGTTCAGCGGAGTATCAAAGATTACTGAATAATCAACCTGCCAGTCCCCTAAGTGGCACACATGGAACCCTAAGATTAATTTTAAAAAAGAAATAATTGGAATCCCATATGATTCCCAGATCTGGCAAGAATTCACTGATCTTGCAGGAGAGCTCAGTGAAAATGTCAAACCTTATAAGATCTCAGCCATTTAAATGTTTTAAATCAGTGTTTCTCAAGTTTGGCAACTTTAAGATATGTGAACTTCAACTCCAGAATTCCTCAGCCAGCATGCTGGCTGGGGAATTCTGGGAGTTGAAGTCCACACATCCTACAATTGCCAAGGTTGAGAAACACTGATTCAAATTATTTTTGCACTTTCTGCTTGAGAAGATTGCTGAGTTGTCATAAAAAGGAAATCCAACAAACAATCCCCATTTAAACACTGCAAGATACTACAATATCTGCGCCCGTTTTCCTTGACTTCACGTCCCGCCAAGTCCCGAATGCGCGCTATCCTCGAAACAAACTACAAGCCCCAGAATCCTCCAGTGCTCAACACCTGCAAGCCGCGTCCCGCCTATTTGTGGAAGTAGGAGGGGTGTGCCGAGAGAGAGAGATGAGAATGGAACGAGGGGCGGACGCGCCGGCTGCGCCGAGGGCTACTTCGTACGCGTGGGATTGCTCTCAGCAGCCGCTGCCCCCCAGCAGCCGAGGCAAATGGGTTCGGCTGAATGTCGGGGGCACCGTTTTCTTAACCACCAGGCAGACCTTGTGCCGCGAGCAGAAATCTTTCCTCTGCCGCCTGTGCCAGGGAGAAGAGCTGCAGTCAGATCGGGTAAGCCCCCGCGCTTTACCGACCCGCAAAGGAGCGGCGTTGTTTTGCCAACACGTGAGCGTTTTCACTTCGCCTAAACCGTGGGGCGTGGAGAGCGCCGCGGGTCCAGAAGAGGCGAGGGCGATGAGGGGCTCTTTGTTTCGGACGATCGGAGCGCTCTCAGGAGAGATCTTGCTAAGGAATCGAGCGTTCCTCTCGCCTCGCGCACTTTTCGAGTCGTGCCCATCAGCCGGAGTCATTTTTTGCAAAGTCACACTCGCATGCCTCCTTCGTGAACGCAAAGTTGGCCAGGGGTGCAAAATTAATTTCCGGAGACTCGATTCTCCTTTTCCTCCCCGCCCCCCCTCCCCCATTTCTCAGGGGTTTGGGAGCTTTACGGAGGAACGATAGTTTTACCGCTACGCTTCAGCTAATTAAAGAGCGAGGCAAGTCCTATGGAAGCATCTGTTTTCTGGCGGGGGGCATCTGTCTCAGCCAGTGTGTCTCAACCTCCGCAACTTAAAGATGTGTGGACTTCAACTCCCAGAATTCCCCATTTTCCAGAATTCTGGAAGTTGAAGACCACACTTCTTAGAGTTGCTAAGGTTGAGAAACACTGGTCTAAACAGGGAAACTGTGTTCTTAAAAGCCTACGCGCGAATCGCTCTGCTGGTTGAAAAATGCGTACGCGGAGAAACTCCGGCTTCTGCTTTGCACGCGAGAGCTGATGAAATTGGTCGGCGGAGATAATGTTGCTGTTTGTGGCCTCTTATCTCAGAAGCGCGCGGCTTCCTGGTAAAAGAATCGACGAAGAACCCTGAAGACGCCAGCTGCCGGCCCGAGGGGCTGGTTCGCCTCGGAGAAACTCTGCCCAGTCCTCAAACGGCCGCGCGTGTACGGTCGTCTCTTCCTTTCCAAGACATTCCTTGATGTAACGTGGGTCATCTGTCAGTGCTTCCAAGAGTTTATCTTGAGGCTTGGTGCAGCTTTTCTGCGGCTAATGTAGTAGTGGGCAGTCATTCAACAACTTCATCCGCAGGATGTTTTTGTTTTTTGTTTTAAAAGGAGGAGAGGCGGAAAGCTCAGACGGAGCAAGGGCCGTTGATTTCAGGGTTATCCTCCGAGGACATGCATACAGATTTCAGCCTTCAAATAAATGTTATGATAGGATCAAAAAGTTGCTGGCTTTGGACAACACGTTAGGCTAAAATGTGTTCTGTGGCTCAGTGGCTGGATTTGCACACAGTGTGAGGCTAGGCTGAGATGTGCTTTAGCACACTGGAGGAGTCCAGCCATAGTGATAACACATCTTGTGAGCCAGATTGTCAGGTAAAGCCATAATAAGGTTAATTAATTTAGACACAGCGTGTTCTGTGAACTCAGCAGTAACATTTTATTAACCCACGTTGAGTGAATCAGGCAGTGCGTTGCAAACTGAGTATGATTTATGTAGGATTTAGTTTGTTGGGTAAGCCTGCCAATTTGATTAATTCAGTAAAGCACATTAAATCTGCTTTATGACTATAGCCTTTGTTTCAGCATTGTTTCAAATTAGTCAATATCATTTGGAGGAAGTACACTATTGGGCCTGAACATGCACACACATACAATGGGGGCCGTGCCATATCCTCCTATTTTTCTTGGCAGCTTTGCTTTGCCTTTTTTCCCCTCTGATCATGGAGATACATGCAATTTGTGTTGACTTTCTTTGTTTTGCAAACTTAGCCATTGTGTCATATACAACATAGTTTATGGTGTAGCACAAGGCAGGAATGAGTTCATTATATTGGGGTAGTGCATTTATTGTTTAAGAAATATTTAAACACCTCACAGCTTAAATATCTTTAACTTTATTAACTCTTTGCCCTGAATCTTCTATTTAAGTCCATTTAATGACTTAGGGTTCCCATAATATGACAGAGAGACAAAAACCTCTTTTGCTGAGTGTGCATAATTTTATACATACTTCTTCCTTTTTTTGTCCATTTTTCCCCAACCAAAAAACTCTCCAAGATTCTTTCTCTTTGGAGGGCTGCTCCAGATTTTTGTTTGATTACTTTTTACAGTGTTTTTTGAGATACAGCAGTCATAGGTGAACAGTGTAGCTGTGTAATGCATTTGATATTGGCAGTACAATTTGTTTTATCTTTTTCCTGGTCGATGCTATCTTGGGATGTGTCTCTTGCATATCTTCACACTTTGTAGTGATGTCAAGATCTGTTTCTGACCAGTCATTGCCACTTTATCTCATCAATATGTTTTGTGTGTGTTTAAAACATTTGACTTTTTTTTGGTCCCAGTTTGTATACTTTTATGCCTTGTAGTAACTCCCACTCACTCTTTTTGGAGAAAAACCTTGAGGTCAGTTTTTTCTTTACCACTCTGAGTAATTTGGTGTCAGCAGAACTGGTTACCGTACTGCTGATTTCTAAATGATTCTCACTGGTTTAACTTCAGGGCTTACATAAGAAGCACAGGTCCCAAGGCAGCT